AAAAATCCCCCCCCCCCCCCCCCCCCCCCCCCCAGCATGACGTAATTTGCGAAGGACTTCTTAAACTTAAATTGATATTGACAGTAATAAATTCTAAGAAAAGAAATAAAAGTTATACCGGTACGTAAATTGACTTAAATTTTAGGTAGGATTCAGTTAGCCGTTGTCCCTAGTGATGTTTTCTACATTATATAGGTCATGGAGTTTACCGAGGTTTACTTCCTGCTATAGGTTAGTATTTAAAAGATTAGAATTAGAGCAGAGTTTTGACTGGAGCTCTGGGTTATTATTACAAGTTTCAATTAAAATATGCCACTTAAAGTTTCTGTGAAAGATTCTACTCTTCGCTTCATTAACAGATTTAACTTGGATTAACTATTTTTCTTTTTTTATATTAATATGTAGATGGGATTTATTTGAGTGATAATGATGGCTTTTTAAAATTTCATTATTTCAGAGTTATTATAATATTTCAAAACAGTTTATTATAAACAAAACTATAACCTTTTTGCCCGTCTGACTGACTATCTGATCATTTTTCAAAATGGATTTTGACTTTTTTGACATCTCTTGGATTTATAAAGTTATAAAGTAAAGTGTGTAAAAGTGTATTTGAGGGCACCCATTCCCAGAAAATTATGTTGAAATGTATTTGAGATGGTGACATTATTGGCATACTTATATTTCAATAAGGAAAAGAATATTGGTAGCATAGTGGTACAGTTTTTGGTTTGTAAGGTTATTTCCTAATCAAACAATCAAAAGACATCATTTTTTTAGATTTTTAGTCATGCACTGATTGCGTGCAAATTTTTGTTTGTTTATCAGTGGTAATTTTTCTTTCTTTTGAAATTGAACCTTGTAAGTTGAATTACCGTATTTATCGGCGTATAACACGCACCAGCATAAAACACGCTCCTCATTTTAAGAAGGAAATTTCAGGGGAAAAAAATTAAATTATATCGGTGTATAACACGTACACATCATTTGTCCCCTATTTTCAGGGAGAAAAAATGCATGTTATAAGCCGATAAATACGGTATTTAAAAATCAAATCATCTATTTTATATAAAATTTATTGTTTGTCAGTTTTAGGTTATGATGCAAATATGCTCTGTGAAGAACAGGAAATATTATACAGGTCATTCAGGTCAAAATATTTATTGAACAGACACTGGACCATCTATTACAGTGGTTCTCAAAGGGGTTGGTACAACCCCCAGTGGGCAATTGGATGGAGGAGTTAGATTTAGGGAGGTGGTGGTGGATTATATCAGAACATTAAATTAAAACTTGAAGAAAAAAATTTGATCAGATCATTTTGGCCTTGAAAAAGAATCATGAGCAGAAATTCAAATGGTACAATGGGCTGTTAACAACTAGAAACATACATTTAAATATTTAGTATGTAGGGGCAAACCAATATATAGTACAAAAGTAGTGAATGAAGAAGAACCACACATTCCCTGTATGCGTTAATAAGAAATTAAATATTAAAGGTTATTTATTTTGTTTATACCAGAAGATATTTTTAATTGTTAATTGCTCTAATTGTCAGTTTTTCAAACAATAATACATAATTTAAAATTTATAGATTATACCTTGTCAGAGGTGGTCATAGACATGCTGATAGGTCAGATATAATTTGTATTATCGGTATCTAATGCTGTCTTTGTTTTCATGAAAGTTTATTATTCAGAAATTAAATATAGGTAATTTTTTATAAGGGATAGTGTTGCTACTTTGCACTAGTTTGACTGCTATAAATAAATGAAAACTTCACCATCAAGAAGAGATTGCTAACAAATTTTTTTTCTTGTTCAAAAGTACCTAATATCTTTAATTTTTATTGTTTCATTTATTGCCAGAAATATTTGCAGATTTCAAAAGATTCAATTTTTATTTTTTTAGAGCTGAAGCCAATCTTATTAAAACATTTTTTTTTCTTCAAAAATTCCCTTTGATATCTCTGTTCATGAGGGATATTGTCCAATCTCAAGCCTGTTTACATAAAAAAAGGAGAAAAGAAAGGGGGAGATGGGTTTACAAGAAGTAATTGGCGTATCTAGGGTTGGTGTTACCCAGTGATCTAGAAGTACCTTACTTTTACTCAGTGCTTAATCATGATTTACCTGAAAAGGGCCTTGTTGTTAATGAATCAAATTAATCACTATACTACTGAATAAATTAAATAGAATTTTTATTACATATACACAATTACATTTTGTTGTCTTGGTATCTGCTTACAGAGTTGTGCTGGCTACTGTCATAAATCATATTTTTGGGTAGCACAAGGGGGTTCTAGGGATGTCTTATGGTGCCAAGGGGCAGTGGCTGAAATAGGTTTGAGAACCACTGATCTATTGAAATGCTGAAACATCACTTTGGAAATGGCGTCGGTGGGTCGTCAAGCACACAAGCTCATAGTACATCCCCCCGGCACAACCCCACATGGGCCAACGCCGGGTCTCCCCGCCGCCAGGCCGTGCAGAACCACGTTCGCCCCCCCTCCCCCCATGGCCTGGGGAGACGTCCGGTCGACTGAAAACGCTGCTTTTAAAGCATTCACTGTCGACTCTCCTTGGGTATGACCTGCTTTGCTTCCTCTCTGGGGGAAAGGTGTTGCGTTACCTCCCTCCCACCGCCCAGGAAGTTGTCTTATCTGGACAAAAGCTGTGACAAAATGGTCACCTAGGAGCGGCTTTCTCAGGGCCACATAGCTAAAATCATCAGCAAGGCTTTTAACCACCACCCAGGCCTCATGTCCATTATCGACAAGTATTCATGTTATTGCGTTACTTCCGTTGCTAAGACCAAAGTGGTTGTCTTTATTAATTTACATTACCTACTGTTAATGATTAATGGAAAGCCACAACAAAACTGCCAGCTCTGATCTGCGCTGTTTCAAAACCTAAATTAAATCAAGTAGCGTGAACCTGGTAGTATATTACTATTAGTATTAGAAAATAAACAGATTCCTTAGCTTCAGCATATGACAGACAAAGCTGCGCATTTACACTATTAAAGTTTAAGTCTCAAAAGTGCAATTAAGAGTGTTGTATTCTTTTAAAACAATTAAACAATGAATTTTCTTTTTTCTTCAAATTTTTTATTGCAAAAAAATCTGATTTTACAGTAACACTAAAAAAAAATCAACTTCTTTTCTATTCTGCTGTAATTAGATCTGTTTATTTTCTTAGCGGCTTCGCCTTTACTGGGCCAACCGCATTATTTACTTAGCAAAGCCCATCTGCCAATTGCCACTGTGTGTCCTGGGGACTCTTTTGCAGGATCTGTACATGTTTTCACAAAGGAGTCTGTAGTCGTAATGATTTTCATTTTTCAAATTAACTCAAATTTTTACATTGCATTTCCAGGAATTCTGCAAAGGTACAGCCTGGGGCCAGATGGTTTTTCGTGGTAAAGAAACTGGTCTTGCAGAAATTACATCTGGTCACAAGTTTGACTGGATTCTGGTTCCCAAAGAAGAAGAAGAGGAATACTGTAAGAGCCCTGAGGTGTTTGATGTTGACAAGATTGCAATACCAAAGTACATTGCCTGCCCTCCCCTCTTAGAGATAGTTCTCAAGCAAGAAATAAAAGCTAAAGGCATGCCTGTCCCTGAGAAAATTCAGATTCCATTTTATGCTGATGAATATAAAAAGGAAATTACTGAGAGATAAAGACAATATGTGTTGTGGAAAACTTTAATTTGTAACACCAGAATTCTTTTCAAGTATGCATTAAATGTTGTTTTTTTTTTAAATTTTATATATTGTTTCTTAAATTTTTTAGTAACTGATTGATATTCTTTTTAATAGCATTTAGCTTTAAAAATTAAATAAATAATTACTTAAGTAAGTCATGAGGAAAAAGAACAAACGAAAATATAATTGTACTTTTGGATGGTAGTTTCTGTTGAAACTTTCTGCCAGGAGATACATATGTATACTTCATTGATAGATGCTTTGACTAAAATAAATAGTTGTGATGGATCACCACAATGCAAATTTAAATGTGACAAAATTGGCAACAAAGCCATGGCATGACAAAAACAATATTTAAAAAAAATCATTTTTCACCCGATGAATAAATACATCTATTGGAAGGTTTATTTTTATTCTTAAACCTTCTATCAGTTTTATCTATGGAAAAAAACTGTCTTATAATGCATTCTTTAGAAATGTGAAAAACCAGCTCCTCGTGAACATGTCAATATTTTACATAGCTGTCCTGTAATTATTAACTCAAGGACATATAAAATCGAGGTCATCAATATTTTAATTTTAAACTATTCAATTTTGATCTGCAATCATGTGTTCACCCTTGATATCCTGAGATGGTTCCATTGATCCAGTCAAAGAAGTAACTTATTCGAGTGTAAAGTCCAGGTATCTCAATATTTCCACACCCAAGTCCAGCTGCCACCACTCCAACCTGGTACCAGTAACCATCAATATCACACATCATAGGACCTCCTGAGTCACCCTGTCACAGAGATTTAAAATAAAAATGAATGACAAGATGATGTTGAGAGTTTTTAAAGAAAAATTCATTTAAGGGCTAGGAGTTAATATTAATGGAGATAATTAAATTAAGACCTAAAGGTAAAATATTCATGATTATAAGTTAATGTATCTTGTCAATTTTATAATGCTTTGCATTTCACATCTGTGTGACATTAAAAAATCTTTTGCCTTAAAAACTTGATTAAAGCTAATAATAACTTAATATTTCTAGACCCCTACTTGTGCTTTGGTAAAAATAACTATGAAGAAAGAGCATTTAAAAATATACTGTTACCTGACATGCATCCTGTCCCTCTGGCCCAACACTTGCACATAAAACAGGAGGTGTAATGATGAAGTATGGTTTGACAGGATTTGAATCTGGCAACACGTCGATCATGTGCTTGCACTTTTCTTGGGTCAGAACAGTCAGCACGGTGGTATGTGGAAAGCGACTCCCAGTTGAGTTTAAGTCTGTATGGAATACATAGAAAGGTTTCCAAAATGCTTTGAATTGGAGATTCTTATTTGATTTTTTTTTCTTATAAACCTATGTCAAACATGTACACGTGAGGCACTTATTTGTGACCAAATAGTTTCAAGCATGCCCTGAAGTCTTGCAGTGTCACAACAGATCCCAGAAATAATTGGGTAGAAAATCCCCCAGTCAAAGACTAAACCAAATTAAAAATTAATTACATATCACCACTTCATTTTCATTTTTTTGTAATGGTGTAACGGGTGTGTAACCTGTTAATAACTCTATGAAATTTTTACAAATTGTGCTTCCCTTGATTAGATCAACCCGTGTCAGTCAGTTTTATTTCTCAAATTATCTCCCAAAAGTTCCAAGATTTAATTTCACATTAGGTTTATAACTCACCCACATTCCCCCACCCAGTCACATAACACTGGGTCTCATTGTAAAAGATATCGGTGTTGTCTAGACAGATTGGGTGCACCATATCTGAGGTCTGCACCGGTTCGTTCAGCCGCACAAGAGCCAAGTCATCTATCAAAGGACCAGTCGTTACTGGGAAAAAGTCAAAATTAAACCTGAATCACTGGACCATTTTGAAAATGGATGGGTCCATCTTTTAAAAATGGATATATTTATATATCCATAAAAAGCTATGGAAGATTTGCTCAAATGAACTATCCAGCAAATTACACTCCATATTGAATTATTTATACTCTGTATCAAAGTTTAACTTAAGGAAACATGAAAATATTCACTGCCTTCTTTTTTAAGGGAAACATGAAAATATTCACTGCCTTTTTTTAAAAAAGTTATGAGAAAAGGGTAACTTATTAAAATCTATATCAATGAAAGTTGAAATTTCAAGAGTAACAGATACAGGTACAATATAATTATGCAGAAAACGAAATGGTTAGCGAAAAAATCTGCTGTTAGTACCGGTACTACCATATGAGGCTTTGTAAATCATATACAAATCTAAATCAGTTAGAGGTGTAAATAAAAGAAATAATTAGCATTTTTAGGCTTCATGGCTTTGTGAAATATTAAATGAGCCCCAAAATTAAATATTACCTCTTTGACTATAATTTGGATTACAGGAACTAGTATAAATGATCATGTTTTTCACGCAATTAATAATAACTTTGAAGAATGGTATATTGAGCTTTGGATTTGAATTTTGTTTTTGAATCAATATCTTTCCGACAAGGTTAAAAATAAAAAATTTTAAATTTACTGCACTTAATAGATTAAAAGCAATTAACATTAAGGATAGATTTTAATTAAATATTCTCTACCATTTTAGTAGTAACTCAATTAAAACAGAATTTGTGTGTTCAGGGGCAAGGAAGCTTACTAAAAAAATGTGTTATTTATAATGAATGACATAATTATTGTAAAATATGAGATCACAGACAATATTTTTATTTGAAATCTTTGATTCATGACATCAAAGTTTTTTTTGGTCATGCTTTTTGTTATATATTTGAAATTACTTGGAATGCTGTTATAGCATTTCCTTTCTTGCTAGACATGCATTGCACATTAATGAATTAAAATTGTTAGAATGACTGATAACTGATAGCAGTATATTCAAGTTTCTATTTTAATATTTATAAAACTTCCACCACCTTTGAACAAATGGTTTACCCCATTTACAAATGTTTTTTCTTCTTAACCTGCACAAGTAACAAAAGTAATACAAGTAATAAACATTTAGAGACATTAAGGACCGTGATTAAATTTTCAAATATATTTTGAACAATGGGGACTTAAGCATGTCCACCTTGTCAAACACTTACTGTCATAAGTCGGGTACACTATGTAATCACTGATCAACCGCTCTTGGACAAACGCGTTTTTATCATCTTCAAGGTCATAGAGTCCGATTATAACCTTCCAATTACTGGCATTACCAAGGCCATGGAATATGGCCTCCCTGCAAGGCAATTGTTATAGATTTAGACAAATATGTGTCTTGATAAATAAGAGCTGTTAGTGCTAAACAAGTGAAAAACTAAAGAATAATTTTTTTTTGTTTTACAAATTATTAGTTTGTGCTAACAGACTCGTGTCAAAATATCCTCTTACGTAACACATGGACTTGGTATCAAAATGTATTTTTTAGTTCCTCACACTCACATTATTTTATCACTACCTGAGGCTGATAATTAATTGTTTATTTAACTTACGAAAAGCAGTGACCTGCTGTAATGATCCAGCTGGGAGCAATTAGACTAGCACCACAAATATGCTTGTAGCCAGATTTTTTTGTATAATTACTTTCCCTGAAATAGTAGAGTTTTTAAAATTTTAAATTATGTGTATAATAATTTTTTAATACTAAATTTAATTAGATTCTTCTCATAAGATTTATATTGCATGATTCCCATCTAGCTTTTAAAAAAAAAGACTATATTTTTAAAATAATAATGTCTCTGTCAATGTTATGTTTAAGAAATTATTTAATAATTATTATTTTTTTTTAAAATGCTGTTCTGTTTTATTGTGAAAATATGAATGACAAATTTTGGTCTTCATGTTGAGTTCTTTATATTTTTGTTTTCTCTTTTTACTTTAGTGTATGGACATGCACAGTTACCAAATAATCTTTTATATAACCGAGGTACACATTTCCTTGAAATTTCTCGCAACCTCCATTTTTATACAAAAAAAAAAAAAAACATGACCTGTTATAAATATTTTTCAACTTTAAAAAACCTCATAATTTCATAACTAGCTAGAAATTTTTAGTGTATGGACATGCACAGTTACCAAATAATCTTTTATATAACCGAGGTACACATTTCCTTGAAATTTCTCGCAACCTCCATTTTTATACAAAAAAAAAAAAAAAAACATGACCTGTTATAAATATTTTTCAACTTTAAAAAACCTCATAATTTCATAACTAGCTAGAAATTTTATTTTTCTTCACAAGTTTCCAAAGAATTTCTAGGTAACAGGTATCCAACAAAAGCATTTAGGCATATCTTAACTGTTATTTTATAGACACTTACGGTAAGAAATACATGGTGACCAGCCAGGGCCACTCACCCGGGCTATTCTTATATCCACCAATAATTCTCTTCCTTCTAGCTCCTGCTTCTTGAGGTTTGATACCGCAGTGAGGTGGATCATTCACTAAAAAGAATTTTGTATAAATATTCGTGCTGTTAAAAAGGGTGGAAAAGTTACAATTAAGTTATTTGATATTATAGAATAACTTCATTTTCAAATTTTAGTACAGGACAATGTAATTGAATGTTAGAAAATGCTTAATGGGATCTTGACAAAACTTTCAGTGTCAGGAATGATTAATTAAAAAAAAAATTAAAAACTAAAATAATTAAATAGAACACAGTTTTTTTTTATTTTATTAAACCTTTATAAAGTAAAAACAAAATAATCTGCAAAATAAACAAATAGGCCATATTTATTTTACAAAATAATTGTAGAAAAGATATCAATATATTAGTTTATAGCCATTTATGCGTTAATACTATTTAATTTTGGGGTATTCAAAAATAAATCTTACACTTACATAATCCATTATTGATGCTAATACTAATAGAACTAACATCTGCATTAGTTTCATCTGAGCTGACTTCAGGTGCCTTCAAGCTTGATTGGGCATCTGAGTCTTTGGTCCAAGTTGTTGGTAGGTTAGGAGATGCTGTAGTAATATTACTGGTCTCTTCATTAACTTCAGAATTTAATTTTGCAGTGTTATTGTTCAAAGTCTGTGTCTCGTTTGCGTGATGATAATAATTTTCCTTTGAGTTTTGATGTTCTTCCAGAGCTTCACTGCTAGTCTTGTTTGATAAGTTAATGTTATCGCTATTCAACGATGTTTGAATATCATCATGGTTTGAAGCTTGAATGTCATGTCTTGATGTTTGCATGTCATGTTTTGATTGATTGCCATCATGTTCTGATGTTTGAATATCATCATGTGTTGACTGATTGCCATCATGTTTTGATGTTTGAAAATCATCATGTGTTGATTGAATTCCATCATGTTTTGATGTTAGAATATCATCTTGTGTTGATTGATTGCCATCATGTTTTGATGTTTGAATATCATCATGTGTTGATTGATTTCCATCATGCTTTGATGTTAGGATATCATCATGTTTTGATTGAATGCCATCATGTTTTGATGTTTGAATATCATCATGTGTTGATTGATTTCCATCATGCTTTGATGTTAGGATATCATCATGTTTTGATTGAATGCCATCATGTTTTGATGTTTGAATATCATCACGTGTTGATTGAATTCCATCATGTTTTGATGTTAGAATATCATCTTGTGTTGATTGATTGCCATCATGTTTTGATGTTTGAATATCATCATGTGTTGATTGATTTCCATCATGCTTTGATGTTAGGATATCATCATGTTTTGATTGAATGCCATTATGTTTTGATGTAAGAATATCATCATGTTTTGATGTTTCAATGTCTTCATGTTTTGATTGAATGCCATCATGT